TCTGTTTAAAAAACTGATAAATGAATTTTTTTTAAATGAAATAATTCATCCAACATATTAGGCGATAAATCATTAGGATATATTTCAATCATTTTTTTTAAGTTAACTTCAAGTTCTTCACAAGATAACTTCATATAGCATAAAATAGGGGAAAACAGGTTACAAAGGTTTTTATGTGCTTCAAAGCGGTGGTTCAAGTCGGTTATAATAACATCTATACTATTAAATATAACATCCCTCTTAAAAGAATCTTGTGCTACAATTGCTTTATTAGGTTGAATAATAGTCTCTGATTGAACTTCATCATGAAATACTTTCCTTTTTTTTTGCTCTCCTTTCTTCTTCAGGAAAATTTAGTATAATGTTCAAATTGTTTGCCACTAAACTAGCTTCATTTAAAATTGTAGGCCATTCATCTCTAATATTGTTCAATTCATTTATCAAATCTTTTATTAAATCAATTTCAACTTCCAGAGATATACCTCTAGACTGAATAATAATATTCCGTTCATTTATTGAAGAAAGTACTTTAAACCAAAAACTAGCCATGGCTATGCATTCAAATGATGAAAAATATTTTTTTAAAGCCATTATTTCACTATACATTTTGTCTGGCATGTTAATTTCAGTTAAAACTCTAATGGTTTTAAAATACCAGAAAGATGCTTTACAATTGGACGTATGGCTGAAACGCGGGAGCTCCATCGTGTTTCAGACTGAGACTCTAATGATACTCCAACCTCTTCACTTAGAAGTTAGGAATAAAGTCACATCAAGAAGCCTTTTTAAGATAGCTTTCCATTTTTCTGTTTCACTAAGAATTTGTTTTTGTAATTGATTATCTACTCCAAAACCTAGCAAAGACTGTTGTAAATTTTTCACATACAATAACAAGTAAGATGTGTTTCACTATTTTCATGTAATGGAAGCCTAACTTTTTCCAGGGTATTATTTTTGGAGAAAACCCGCTTCTTTTAGTTAAAACGCTTCGGTTTTTTATTGGCGCAGTAAGTTTATCATTAAATAATAAACAAGAAAAGCAATTTAATGTTTTTTTGAATGTACTATAAATTAACCAATCACGTGGATGTTTTTCTCTGTTGTTTGATGATTTTGTGTATAATAAAAATTCGGAAAATTGTTTACCACCCAAATCTTTAGAAATAGTACTTTTTATTTTTAATAAATTATCAAAATTAGAAGGATTTGCATTTATAATTTTTTGACGAATATCGTCGTTAATTTGTTCAGGCCACAAACCAGGGTCAGTAAAATTGTTACATTCGATTTCGCGCGAAGAACAGGCACTCGCATTTTCATTTACGCGTTTTTCTACCTTAGAAGTATTACAAGATGGTTCAGAAACGTCAATTTGTAATACTTTGTCATCATATGGTATAGTTTTCACAGAATGTGTATTGGTTTGAACTGATTTGAAAAATGTACTTATTACCTGAGTGTTTGAAATTGCTTTAGCTTCTTTTTCTAATTTCAATTTCCGTTTCTCGGCTCCAAATTTGTGCTTATAAAATGACATTTTCGTATATTATTCCAAATATTTGAAGGTAAATAATATTATAAGTAGACAGATATGAGATAATAACAAATTACCGTCTCCGGTCACGATTCTGAAATTATTGATAGACGGTTTGTGATAATAGCTAAATGCTACAGCAGGCACGGATCCAGCCAACATAAACGGGAGGGGCGAATTATAAATAAACCTATACATACAATTTAGATACCTACTGGTAAATACGAATAAACATTGTTTGGACTTTGGTCGTCGATAAAAGAAGTATTATCTTCTAATCTAAACGATAAATAACAATTGTATTTTTTTGGAACACCCGAATACGAATACGTATAGACAAATAAAATATACAATATAATATACTGTATAATAATCATTATCTCAGTTTCAACCGGCAAAAATAGCACTGGTAGACAGCTGACATGATTATTCAACTTTAATTTCTATGGTGACGCTCTTATTAAATTTGTTTTCCTTTTATTTTTTCTAAGAAATGCTCGCTCCGCACACAGATTATTACTAAATCTAACTATTTATATACCAATATTGTTTAAACATGCGGTGTCTGGGGGATGGCATGACTCATTTTATTTTTCTAATCTAATGTGTTATGAGTACCTATATTATATTTTTTCCCCGGGCCCCGAGACCACAGTACTCACTGACCCCCCCCCCTTATCTATCCGAATCCTCGGCTAAGGGAGTGGGCTTGTCCTCGCTCCTTCGTGGTCTTGCTGGCCTAGTCGGGGTTAATTCGAAGCAGCGGCAAATGCTGGTAGATCGGGTCCGCGGGTTGCGGATAGCGATATTTAAACACTCCTCCGTGGTAGGGGAGACGAGGGAAATATTAGAATACTCTCGCCCGGACAATTTGCTTGCGCGTTAACCCATACGGGGTGAGAGCTCCGCCTATGCGTGCTGGTGCGTAAAATGCACGGTGTGCTGAGAGCTCTGAAGCGGCCGTGCGATCAAAATGACTCCGAATCTGGTTCGCCAGAGGCTGGTGGCCTGTCGGTGTGACCGTCCCGACAGGTCGGACGTCTGTTTTTACAGGCGTCCGGGCGCATTACTGCGTCTCATGTGATTCTCGCTCTTCCCTGGGGATCGCGGTCCCGGGGCGGTGTGGCAGTCGACGGCCGCGCCGCTCCGGTATCGTGCCCCCTCGGCAGGTGTGAGTCGTGATGGCAGTAATGCGATTATTCCCCTTTCTTAAACACGGAAGACGGCGGGGTGACTGGCCGCCGTCGACGCCTGTCCAACCATTGACGCGTAACACGAATGGTACGTCGGGAGGCGCAGTTAGCCCAGGGTGGCGTGTGTCTTACGCGTCTCCCGCCGCGCCCAGTCTGCTTCGGTAGATCTGAGGTTGGACTCGACGGGGTTGCGGGTTCGCTAGGTAAACCAGGCGAGCACCGGACGCCTGGGGTCCTCACAGACTTAACGGTACGAAAGTCGGCAGTTCGGCGGGGAGCGGCGTGAATCCGCCCGAGTCGAGTGAATCACCGACTCGTATGGAGCGTGTCCTTTGAAGAGAGAAATCTCACAGAAGGAGCACGCTTGTCTGAGCGAAAGCTCGAATGCACTTGGTCTAATGACCCCCCCCCCTTGTGGGGGGCCTGTTCATTAGGTCTGTAGCCCTGGCTAAAGAAAACGGGCAAATTTACACACATTCAATGGGCAAACTCTGGCTCGTGTAATATACTACGGTAGTGACCGCTACGCTTTTTTTTTTACTTAGCTTCGCGCCACTACCGTCGCGCTGGATAAAAACGGACTGTGTGAAAGAGGCCTTAAGCGCCCCATATACGGTACAATTAATCATATGACAGGTTGTATGACTTTGTTTGATACGATTTCACTAACGATTATCGTACCGTGTATGGTATTGTTGTACAACGTGTCGTACGACGAGTTTGTTTGATGAGAAATTTGAGCATGCATAAAATCTGTTGTACGACGAGGTGATCGATTAGTGATAATAGTATCACAGAGCCACTTCAGTTGAGCCAGTTATCACTACAATGAACATTATCACAGAATATTATATTTTACTGCCGTTATGCGTTTTAAATATTTGAAATTTGTATTTTGTATTGTTCATAGTTACTGACATTTTATTATTATATTTATTGTTATTTATTAATAATGCATACGAATAAATCGTTTTGGGAAGATTTTATTGAGCTTTACAGAAATCATTCGTGCCTTTGGGACGTAAGAAGTAAAGAGTACTCAAATAAAATAAAAAGAAATACAAGCTATGATATATTACTCACTAAATTGAAAGAAATATATCCTCAAGCAACTATTGACTTTCTGAAGAATAAAATTAACAATATGCGTACAGCATTCAGAAGAGAGTTAATACGTATTACGTTGTAGAAGCCAATTTTTACACCATTTCCTATGTTTTTTCTTTTTTTTTGGAATCCAATAATAACGCGACAACTATACTAGCTGCGGTTTTATTGGACATGGGTGCCATAATGTATTAAAATATAATATACCTATCTTTATTTAAATGTACAATTGAAACGTGAAAAAATTTATTTTAAAAATTACCCACTAATACATAATAATAATAATAATAATAATAATAAGAGTTATCGTAGTTATTTAGAACTATAATATATAGTTGTACAACTTGTAGTTTCACAAATTGTATGCGTGTGTGTCAAAAATTATATTTTACAAGTTGATACGATTTTCGCATGAATCATCGTACGACAAATCGTATCGTGTATGGGACGCTTTAGTCTGTGCGAACGTGTGCGGTATCCCGCAAGCGTATAGACGAAACACCCAGTCATTCAAACATATAAATATCAATGATAATATTTTTTCAAACTAATCTATACAGTTTACTCGCGGATTACGGTTTCTGGATATGAGATAAGGAATTTTATTATTGTCGATCATGTGAATGTCTTATTTCATCGCGTGCGTTTTAAACCGCGATTGACATTTCGACAATATTAAAATAATAATATCAAAAATAAATGGTACAAAAACAAACAATGTTTTCTGTTGTCAGTGCGACAGGTTCAGCAGCTGGGTGTCGCTGCTGAATGTATTGGTAAATATTTTAAAGTTAAAATATTTCTAAGTAAATTATGATTTAATTGAATATTAAAATCTTTTATACTGCTAAGACCCGATTATTGGTATCAAAATGTAAATATTGTCTCGTTTAAATTATTATGCCAATTAAATTAAATTATAGTGAAAACATTATAAAGGGCTTCTAAATTATTGTTTGCACTAGTTAACGATTTAAGAGATTACTTAACAAAAATTCCATATAACGGAACTTGTATAACGGACAGGTGTGCAATCACGCAAAAAATCGGAAATAAAAGTTAATCAACTTAAAAATATTTGTAAGTTTATTTCATATTGTAAATATATTTATTGTCTTTTTTTTAAAAATTTTAATTAACTTAACAACACATATATCAAGTACCTATTCATTTCATAAATAAAACTATAATTATTCAATATCCACCACATTTAACTTAACATGTAAACAATAAAATTCATTTTGTAAACTGTTTATAAATTTGATTCTTAAATATTGAGCTAAAATATTGATCGATTAAACGAAACATGAATTCATTGTGATTACTAAAAGGCCAAAACCCTTCTAGAAATCCAATATGTCCTCCTCTAGCAGTAACTAAAATTGCCAGATTTTCAATATTGTCAGCACTCTTTAGTGGCAGATCTAAACAACATAATATTAATTATGAATTTTTAATTTTATTATATTTTTTTGTCATATTAACCAGATTCCAAACAAAAAGGATCATCAGCAGCACTTAAACACAAACAAGGCACTTGGATAAGATCTAATTTGTCATGAAGTGATGCTTTTTTATAATATTCTTCAACAGATTCATGTTCAAACAACTTAATAGTATAGTTTGCATCAAATTCTCTTATTGTTTTACTCTAAAAAAAAATATATATATATAATGTATAATAAAATAAACACATATTTATAATATACTTTTATGACTTCATTGTAATTCCATTTGTGACTTGATGAATTTAACATATTGCTACTACTAAATACAAAAAAAAAAAAAAATTATATTTATTATATGCGTGCTCAAATCTAATTTATGAATATTTGAACTAACTTTTTAATAAGATTACAAAGACATTTTGCTAAATATGAACAGAGACAACGGTTTAAAAATGGTTTCTCAATGTTACGCGTAGTAGCTAATAAATCCCATGGTACTGAAAGAAGCATAACTGCAGAAAAGTGTTTATGCGTGTGTTGTTCATTGGATTGTAAAAAACTTCCCAATAATAGACTTTTTCATCATATAAAATGAAGGTTATTAGACTAAATTTAAATTTAATATTATAATTAACATTTGGTCACTTACCCACCCATTGATACACCAATTCCACCTAAAATTGTATTTGGATATTTTTTTTTTATATGAATAATCACTTCTGTTAAATCATCAATATTATTAGCAGAATAAGTTCTTGGAGTCTTAAATGAAGATAAACATCATCAGTTGTGTAATAAAAAAATATAATTTCAATTATTTTAAAAAAATCTAATAAATAGTGAATATTAATATAGTTTTGCTAATATATAGTATTTATTGGTCAGCATTAAATCGACAGTAGGATATAATGTCAGTCCATTGATATTAATTGTTAGCACAAAGAAATCAAAGGAAAACACATAAGTTACAAGAATGAAAAATTATATATTTTATTGGAAGCTTAAGAAAATTTTATTTGAGTTTTAATTTGGTATATGTAAGAGAAAATTAATAACTAATAATAAATAATAATTGACCCGGCGTTAGTCACGCTATGGTTAAAATTACCGCACTTTTATTATATTTTTAATAAAACATTTATGTTTTATATTTTAATTATTGACACTCGGTATAACTTTCAATAATGTTATTAAAAATGATATTATAATATTCCAAGTATATTTAATTTTGTACATATAGAATAAAATGTAAAAAAAGTGCGGTCATTTTGACTATTGCGGGACACGCCGAGTTAATAAATATATAGTAATAAATAACTAATTAATAAATAATATTACATGTACTATAATGAAATATTTTCCATCATTATGATTATAAACTTATAGTACAGAGAAAACATTTTAATTTTATTCAATCAAATTCATAGTTACTATATATATAAATAACAATGAATTAATATTTACTAAACAAGATGAGATGATAATTAAAAATTTATAATTCATTTAAATGTTAAAGACTTTTAATATTTTTAATTAAATTTAAACCAAATGAATAGGCTTTTCAAGAAACATTGAATAAATGTAAATGGTATACATTTAATTTTAAATGGAATCACAGCTTTAATGTTCATTACATTAAAATCAAAATAACTAAAAAGTTTGAGTTATCAAAGATTTCAAGTAATCAAGATGCGAATTTTAATAATTTAATGATTTAATAAAAAAAATTGTTTATTACTAATTATTTTTAATATACAATTTTAAGAAGCAGTGTAGTGCAGTGGTCACACAGTTAACTACAAACAGTCATCATATTCAACCGGCTTAGTGCAAAATACATTCTGCAGATTTAATTCAGTAGTCTTTTTCCCCTGCCATCATTCCGATTACTCTACACTGCTCCCCACTAAACCAACTCCAATGGGAAAGAAGTCCCACATACACGATAATTTTCAACTTAGAAAAAAAACATAAGTTATACTCCACAATAGTAAAGTGAAAAAATATATCAACAAAAACCTCTGGCAAACATTTCTATAGAAAATATGAAAAAAATAATAAAAAATACAATTTTAGACATTTTACTAATAATTACCTTTAACTCAATACCTCCTATTCCTCTATAATTGAAAACAACAACACGAAATCCAGATTTCTGTACAGTCAATGATGTAGCTCTAACATACTCACATTTACTATCACCAGTTAATCCTGGCAAAAACAAAATTGTAATATCATTCATATCATTAAAATGTTTTGTTGGTTCCAACCAGTCTAATGCTACTTCGCCACCATCCGTTAATTGAAATATTTCTCTACAATTTTTTTTTTAATTAAATAGATTAACTCAAAAATAAAAAAAATAAATTTACCAAAATAATATAATAAATAATTTATAGAGATTAAAAAAAAAATTACTATCCACTACACAATTTACCTATTATATGGTGCTTTAGGAACAACAAATGATCGTATTAAACTTGCTAATACACTTTGAAATCTAGCTTCAAAACACCACATTGTTGGCCAGTATTTTGTAGTAGCGACTGGCACATTTTGACGAATAAAATTTTTAAAACTGCCTTCTTTACAATGTATTTTAGGTACCTGAAAAATAAAGACAATATTAAACTCAGTTTGAGAAATACATTCAGGGGGATCATGAATAAAGAAAATAAAAATAATATATGGTTTATAGATACAAGTAAATTCCCAACGTGGGTAGTACTACCCCTTGTGAGTGGTACTGCCCCTTGTGGGCTTTTTTTAATTTTGAGGGAGGCGTTTTACTTCATAAGATTCTAAGGGGGTGATTCAACTGTGGCATTTATTTTTATTGTTCATAACTTATTGATTTAAAATCTTTAGGTAACTACGCATAATCAAAAATAATATAGAGAATTATGCAGGTATACATAAAATGTATACACACTACAATATCATTAAATAATAGCCAAATGGTATATAATTAAGAAATTGATTGGACATATCTAAAAAAGAAGATTTAAGATTGATGCTGACATCCATGGGGAGGAGGTGAAATTTTTAAAAATCTAAGAGGTTGAGTAAAAAAAGGTTGGGAATCACTGAAGTAAATAATAGGTAATATAACATTTCAAAAGATTTTCTATTAATAATTTAATCTTAAGATTAAAATGTAGGTTCAGGTTATCAATGTAGTATTAACTTAATTGCGTATAATTAAATGTAATTGATTAGTAGAATAACTATTAAAGTATTTAAAATCAATGACAGTATTAAATATAATATGAATATAGATTATATAGTTTTAATGTTTTTAGAACCCATTTGGGACAGAGCCAAAAATTGTATGCAGTAACACACACATGTGCTTTAGTTAATATGAAATGTGCAGTAGCATATAATATCTCATTTTTTGTCATTTATATATTTTTATTTGATAAATATTGGTTATTGAAAATTTATTTATATTTATTTATGATTTAAAATTATAATAAACTTTTCAAGACAGATCTTCAAGACAAGAAGGATATCTTAAGTTAATAAATCTAATTGCAATCTATTTATTATAATTATTTATTAATAAATACCAAAAATAGTAATGGTGTATGTTCAGTAATAAATATGCAAATTATAGATGCTGATTTGAACATCAACAGTAATCTTGGATCCTTTCAATTTTTTATTATTGTTCTTAACATAAAAACAGTTTTTTTATAGAATACCATTTGGTGTCAAGCACTAGGTATCAAATTAAATATTTAATAAAAATTATATTATAAATTGAGCAATACCAATTTTTACTTAAAATTAATTTTTGCTTTCTATTTTTCATATTAGGATTTAAAAGCTTTACATTATTGCAGTTACCTTTTCTAAATTCATACTCAATTAAAGAACAAGAATTAATTAAATACTTACTTTAACAACGTACAGAAAATAGTAATTTACAAATCCAATGGCAGCAGTCACACCGATAACACTTGAAGCTGGCAATGAACTGAATTTGGCAATACTACTGAATAAAATATCCATTTTGCACAAAAACTGTAAACAACTTAATCAAAAAAATTTTTTTAAAAAAAACCACAAGTTTCCGAATAAATAACAAAAAGTTGATTTATAACAAATAATATTATAATCTATTGATGATACATTAACTAGACTTACTTAAAAATTGAACTTAACAATAAATAAATAAATTAAATTAACTATTAACCTATTAAAAAGTATTGCTCGATTGTAGAGATAAATAAAATTGACTTAAGAATTAATAAGGTCCGCACATGATTTCTATAATGTTGTTCGAATTGGCATGAAGCCAATGTTAATAACCATTATATTTTTAAAAATACGCCATCTATATACAAGTATGCAGTATGTAATAAAATGCTGCTACATTCTATAAAAAATAAACCAGTTATAATAGGTAATACATGAATAATAATTAGTAAGACCGAAGTTCATTGTAAGGCAATCGATAATGCTAAATTTTGAACTTTATTCGTTATCAATTTCGTCTGATAACAGCCAAAAACGAATAAATATAGGGATGGTAAGTGTCAAGGTTCATAGATAATAAATATTATCTATTATGAACCTTGGGCAAATGTAGCAGTAACTGCGACATCGAAATATCGATGTTTCATCCTTAGATCATTTACACGATCTTAGGAGATATAGTATATGATCTAATGTTTCATCACAGAATAAATTAAATCAGAATTGATATTCTCAATCTTGGCTGATAACGAGCAAAATTGCTCTCAGTGTAGTCAAGTATAAAAAAAAATATATTTCTGTTTTTACGTTACATATAGTCATGCTGTTCGGCAACATTTTAATGTAAAACTCCTTCGCCTTTCTCCCAATGCTGCAATAACCAGGTGTGTTGCGTGTGTCAAACATACGAGCCCATGGTTCCAGCCTATAATAGGGCCCAATAATAATATTTGAAAAATACATAAAAACAAGAAAATAAATAAATAAAAACAAAATATTTTGTAATAATAATGGAGATTGATCAATAATTGATTGATTTTTGTTTTCTACATATTATCGTATATCAACGTTTTTTTTGCAGCCTATATAATCGAAATTCAAAATAGTTTGGACACAATTGATTAAAGGTACAGTTTCTCTGCAGTGTCCGGACACGAGGGGGGGGGGGGCATTAATTTTATTTACACACGGGCCCAAGTTAGTGTAGTTGCGGCACTGCTTTCTCCCAACTATTTGAAGTCGGCCATCCTTATCTTCTATTCGTCTCGATTTTCTACATCCTCTACGCATTCACTGATATTCCTCATATCATTCTCAATCGTGTTCAACCATCTCTTTTTTGATCTTCCACTTCTTCTATTCCTTTCAACGTTCATTTTCATAACAACTCTTATTGCATTTATTTTCTCTCGTCTCATCACATGCGCAAATCAACTCCGTCTATTTTCTTTTTTCTTGTCCACTATAGACGCTTCGCCTGTACACATATTTGTTCCTTATTCTCTTAATCTTCTCTTGTCACTACTCATCCATCTAAGCAGTGATGTATTAGAGGGTATACGCGGGTGTACCCGGATGTATATTAACATACCATACATTACTACACGATCGGTCGTTTCTGATTTACTCATTTCCAATAGCACGCTATTATCAATTAATCATTTATCATAAAGGTCCTCTCACACTGCCGCAGTAGCGGTGGCGATATTAAAATCACAGACTTGAACACATTGCGGCGGTGGCGGTGGCGATTTTTATCCAGTATAAACATAATATATATATATATAATATATATTTATATATAATCGAATTATTATTTTGATAATCGAGATATCTCGATTATGCCCATATTGCTCGATTTATACATAGACCTTTATTAGTATAAGGTCTATGTATTATAATTGAAAATTGAAATTCAATTCGTGATAAAGTAAATTATTAGTTAACTTAAAAATATAGTTAAAATAAACAAATTTAACATGATTTTACTAAATTGCACTAATGCCATTATAGAAAAAATGAAAAATTTATGAAATGTAGATCAAGTATAGCAAATTTAGTAGATTATAATAATTGGGTGGCTGAATTTGGAAAAATTATCCATTTAAAATGGAACTCACGATCATCTACACCAAATGGAAAAAAAATTACTGGTTCGTTAGTAGGTACTTATCAATAAATTCATCAATACAAGCATTGATTATAAATACTATTTTATTTATTTATAATCAAAGGTACAAGTATTTATTATTATGACATAGTATTAAAATGTATATCAAATTATTTATTTACCCCAGAGATTATTTCGAGTGATATCTCGTTTATTTTAAAAACAAATGTCTATTGTTGAGAAACAAGTGATCTCGAAATGTGTATCGAGTGAAAAAATATTTCGAATGATTTTCATGGAACGAAGGAGTGAGGGAGGAATATAAAATTTTTTTTTTTTTTTTTTATTTTAATACGTAATATACAATCTATATCAAACGACACAATAAGCATATATGATAAGGGGTACAGATAACATGAGTATACAAAATACAAAAAGTGAATAAAGAAGCCACCCAATGATGACACTTAAATGTTGATAGTTTATATGAAAAATGTAAATGAATTAAATATATTTAATAAGTTAGTATTTTTCTTTTTTTTCTATATTAAAATTTGTAACAGGTCTCTACACCATTCACGTTTTAATCGTCTAGGAGGACTGCCGGGGATTGAGAGGGAGGAAAGGTTTTTAATTAAAGGATTTGAGTGGGAGGAAAGACGGTTGTGGAATCTTTTGTAAAAGTGTTTGGCTTCCTCGTGGATAGTTTTTAATTTTAGGTCTGTATGGAGAGTATGGTTATATATGTATGGGGGAGCATTTATTAATTTTCTTAGCGCAATGTTTTGAAAACATTGAATTTTATTTAAATTTGTTTTTTTTTGCACTTCCCCATAGCTGTATCCCGTACGTCCATATTGGTTTCAGTAGTGTTTTGTAGATAAGGAGTTTGACATGAAGGGAGGTGTGTTTATTAGAGACTAGAGGTTTGAGGATACGAAAGCGGTTGTTCAGTGAAAGTCTTTTTGCTCTAATATGGTGGGCCCAAGTTAATCTTTTATCTAATGTAAGACCAAGGTATTTTACTGAAGGAGAGGATGGAATTGGAGCACCGTACAGAGTTACCTCAGGGGTAAGAGCTGGTCTAAGCGTAAAGGTGGTGTGTATAGACTTGCTATAGTTTAATTTAAATCTCCATTTGGTATACCAATTCTCCATAAGGTCTAGGTGAGTTTGAAGGTTTGCGGAGGCTATGTATGGGTTGTCATTCATAGATATAATTACTTTATCATCGGCATAATCTGCTACTGATGTATTTGGTGTGATTGGTTGATCTGCTGCGAATATATTGTAGAGAATGGGGGATAAAATGCCGCCCTGTGGAACCCCAGCACTTATACTGACAATACTTGACGTGTCAGACCCGTAACGTATTTGGAAGGTACGTTCAGTTAGATATGATTTGATTAGATGATAGAAGGGTGAAGGAAGAAATGTTTTTATTTTATGCAGGAGACCATCGTGCCAGACTCTATCAAAAGCTTGTGATATGTCTAAGAAAGCTGCTGTACAAAATAATTTTTTTTCCAGAGAGAAAGATATTGCATCTACTACCCTATGCAGTTGATGGGTCGTCGAATGCGAAGAACGAAAACCAAACTGGTAGTCCGGTAGAACTTTTTTGTCAGAAATTATTGGTAGGATACGTTTAAGTATAAGTTTTTCTAAAATTTTCGCAAGGAAGGGAAGAAGACTTATTGGTCTGTAGGAAGAAGTTGTATCAGCTGGCTTATTTGGCTTATGGATCATGATAATTGTCGAGAACTTCCATAGTAGAGGAAAATAAGATAATCTGATTATTGAGTTGAAAATATGAGTAATATGAACAATGGCTCTTTTGGGGAGACATTTTACTACTTCGGCCGTGATTAGATCGTAGCCTGGAGATTTTTTTTGTGGGTATTTTAGGATTTGATATTTTAAATCGTTAGGAGAGAAGGGTTTAATTGGGAAAGAAAATTGAGGAGGGACATTGAGAGACCTATTGACCAGTGTTATTGTATCAGGATCAAATATATCTGGATGAGGCAGGAATATCTCAGAAAGATATATTTTAAATAATTCAGCTTTTTCAGAGTCCGATGACGTAAGACTGCCGTTATGTTTTATTAAAGGGAGGTTGGGGGTTTTATATCGGAGAATTTTTTTTGTGGCTTTCCACAGACTGCCGTCTTTTGGGGAGAGATTAGTAAGATTGTTAACTAGCATTATATTTTTGTGTTTAGCGAGAGTTTTCTTCAAAGAGTTTGCCAGTTGGTTGTAAATTTTTTTATGTGAGGGTAAACGAGTGCGTTGATAACAAGCTCTAGCCTTACGCTTTTCAGTTATCAACGTTCTTATCACTTCTGGAAGTGGGTTGGAAACATGAGGAGTGGCGGGATTTGCGTTAGTAGCAGACCACGCCGCATTCAGTATAATATTAGTGAGATCCTTAACTGCTAAGTCAATATCATCAGGTGTTTTGAGTTTGATATTTAATTTAATATTTTCATTTACATTATCATGAAATTTGAGACGATCAGTGAAACGATTGAATAGGTTAGGCGATGTTTGTAGAATTGGGGGAGAGGTATTTAAAGTTAATAGTACAGAGGAGTGATCAGAATTTAAATCAAGAATATTTGTTGTGTTGTTATAAAGTGAATTGGGTAATTTAGTGACGAAAATATCAAGTATGTCCGGTTTTTTTTTGAGAGAAGATGGCCAGTACGTAGGAGCAGGAGGTGCAAGTACTTTGTATTTTTTTAAGTTTATAAAATTGTGAAGCGTAGTGCCTCGAGGATTGCCTGTGCGACAGCCCCACGATTGGTGTTTAGCATTAAAATCACCTCCGACTATGAAATTATTTTTAATTGTGTTAAAAAATTCTGTAAACCTAGCGGTTGTTATATTATGTTTGGGAGGGGAGTAAATTGCCGCAATAGTAAAGTAAGTAAAGTTTAATTTAATTTGAATTGAGCAAGATTGACAGAAGTCTTGGGAAAAACCAGGCAAAGGATGGTAAGTAATAGATGACTTAATATATATAGCCACGCCTCCGTGTGCCGTATTATCAGGATGATTAGTATTAATCAATTTATAACCTGGGATATATTTTAGAATTATTAGTGAAGTGTGTCTCAGAGATGAGAGCAATGTCAATTCGTTTGTTGTTTAATACTGTTTCGAGTTCATGAGCATGATTTCTTAGGCCATTTGCGTTGAATAGTAATATAAGTAGTGAGTTGTCAGTGACAGAGTTGTTGTTATAATTGTTATTTAGCATTTTTATCAAGTAGGCAGGAAATTACTTTAGTGAGAAGGGAAATTAAAGGATTGATGAGAGATTTAAAGTCGTCTATGAAACTTGACATTATCTTATTAATATCAGGAGGGGGAGGAATTGTGTTATCGGGCGGAGCGTTGGACGTAACGTGTGCGTAAGTCTGTGTTTGAGAAATGGGTTGACTAGGAATTGAGTGGTTAATTG